TTGGAGTAGACAAATGTGGTTATGTATCAAAATTTGAGACATCTAGCACAAACGGCCACTGAGTTACTGATGCTGAAACAAAAAGTGTTACAACCATCCTCGGTCTCCCCTATTATAAGAACATTCGTTCTTGTGGAGAGACATTAGGCTACCTCAAATTGGCAATTGTTTTAATGATTTAAAAGATTAGGTTATTTCACTGATGTTTTAAAAGTTTGGGTTTCAAATTACTTCGGTAATTTCCTCAGTTTAAGTCAAGAGCTGAGAAATAAAATGATTGCTTGAGAAGGCAATTATTTTCACATGAGACCACGTGTACGGTATGGAGATCTCTACGTAAATAATAGCCTATAGGTTTATTGCTACCTTTATAGCCTATAGCCTATAATTTGCAACCTAGCAACGAACTCAATCTCTTCAGGTTAAATAAATAAACAAGAAACCTAAATAAAGAACCACGCTCTATGAAACACTATCAATGTAGCTATGCTACTATAAACTTAATTTAAACGGACTATGGAATTTATCGGTCAGCTGCCGCCTTTTTCCTCCGCACTATCGGCCAAACACATCCCAGCAAACATTGGTCCGACGGCAACGTCGTTTCCCTGGCCAAAAATAGTCGCGGTAGGACGGCATAAATCGGTAAAAATATGTAACACAGAACATTTCCTAAAAATGCATTCAGATACGTTTGTGCATCTCTACAGTTATCTGGGGTTGCATATATAATTGTTACCTTGACTTTTTTAGCTAAGTGTAGTACAATATGTATACCCTGTTGTGAATCAGTTGTGAGAGGACGTCCACTAGTGACGTCCTTTACACGTGCATTTATAGTCCATCACGACCCTCTATGAAATTCCTATGAAATATGCAAAAGCAATTGTGCTTACACCTTTGTTAATACTCCAATAATTAAATTAAGTGCCCTAAGTAGTTTTTAAGAGGTTGTGGGTAGCCTAACGTCCACTGACGTCCTTTACACGTCTATAGTCGACCAAGACCAATTGTAAAAAATCAATAAATCTTTATGAAATACACAATCATTTATATTTACATCACGATCATTTGTATTTATTTTAATGACTAATTGTATTCACAAAGTGCCCTGTGTGGTTAAGTGATTGTGAAGCCACTGGATTTGAGTCATTATTCGACCCGTTTTCCCTATACATTACAATACGATTTTATTTTTTAATGAAATTTATGCATATACATATGAAACA